CTTGAAAGTCTTTGGGGTTCTGAGTTTCTTAGGAGAAATTATTTTACTGGGTAGTCAAAGAAAATGAACAAGCTTGTGTTTGGATCAAAGTACTGTATAAAATCAACAACTCTGTCCTCTAATTTGCCTATTTCATATATAGGTGTGTGTGTATTTCATATATATATATTTCATATATATTTCTTATGTACATATTTCATATGTATTTTATATATACATATTTAATATTTATACATTTAAAACATTCTTATAATAACTAAATATTTTGCTATTACTATTTTACTTACTTGGAGAATGTCATAGCTCCATAAATTGCAAAGCATATTGAAAGATACCCTGTAAGGGCACCTGGGTGGCTCAGTTGGTTAAGTGTTTGACTTTGGCTCAGGTCATTATCTTAAAGTTTGTGAGTTCAAGACCCACGTCAGGCTCTGGGCTGACGGCTTGGAGCCTGGAGCGTGCTTAGGATTCTGTATCTCCCTCTCTCTGCCCCTCGCCTGCTCACACTCTGTCTCTCTCTCTCTCTCTCAAAAATAAATAAACATTAAAAAAATTTTTTTAAAAAGAAAGATACCCTGTAGATACCCCTTGTAGTCAAGAAGCAGAGATTTATTTAATCCCCTATGTAACTTTGTTCATAATCCAGTCATCTTTTAGTTGTCTTGACATTCTATTTATAATTTCCTTTATGACAGAATATTCCAAACTTTAATGAAGTAACTAAGGTAGTGGTAGTAAAGTAAAACTTACTATTAATGATGTCAACCATGATGTGGCAGAATCAGATTTAATGTAGTTGTAGTTACATTAAATAGAAATACAATAGATGGACACAGAAAAGCCATTTAAGTTTCTTTAAGTTCAGCACATGCCAGTATTTGTCATAAATTGTGGCCTCTGCTCATGAGGAGTTTGCAAGCAAATAGAGGAGGCAGGCAGATACCTAAATAAATTAGTTTTATATAATATGACAGATGCTAATATATGAGGATGCCAGGATGCTGTGAAGGAGGCTTGAGACTGACCTAAAGGCATAGGTGAGTCTTCCTAAGATTTGACTACTTCTTTCCTTCTCCACTGCTATAACTGTGTTCCACATCATCATTTCTTACCTGAGTTCTGCAATTGCTTTATAACTGGCCTGCTTGCTTCTACTCTGGCCCCCATACACGAAGCCAAGACTAACTTGTTTTTTTGTTTTTTGTTTTTTGTTTTTTTGCCTTTGCATGTGTTTTCTTAATGTAATTTATATCTTGTAACATCCCCAGTTAAAACTCAGTTAAATAAATAAATAAAACTATCAGTGGTTTCCTATAGATTTGAGAGTAAAATCCAAGCAGACAAACCCATAGTAGGTCTGGTTCCTGGCTTCTTCTCCTCTTCATGTCTTAACATTCTCCCCACAGTCACTTCCCCTGCCACCCTGCCCTTTTTTTTCTGTGATTTTCCCATAGTCAGCTTGTTCCTCCGTCTCTGAGCTTCATCCTGAGTCTTTACTTGGACTGTGCCAATCTCAGCTCAAGCTTCACCTCCTAGAAACACCTTCATTGACCAGCTTCTCTCCTCCCCAGGCTTTCTCTCCCCTTAGCTTCTCTTGTGTTTTTCTTTTATCATTGTCTGAATTTATTGGTTACTTCTTTGTTTTCTGTCTCCTTGTTCCTGAATGTTGGTTCCATGAGAGCAGAAACCCTATCTTGTTCTCCACTATATCCCTAGCCCTTGCCACACAACTGCTTGATACATATTTGTTGATTGAATGGCTGACTAAAAGGAGCTGGGGTGGATGCATAAGACTTCTAGGGATGTTTGGGTGGCACAGTCATTTAAGAATCTGACTCTCCATCTCAGCTCTGCTCATGATCTCATGGTTTGTGAGTTCAAGCCCTGCATTGGGCTCTGCACTGATGACTTGGGATTCTGTCTCTCCTTCTCTCTGCCCCTCCCCCACTTGTGTGCACACTTTTTCTCAAAGTAAACAAATAAACTTTAAAATTTTTTTAATTAAAAAAAAAAAAGACTTAGCCATTCAAGAACAGTGGGAAAGTAAGAGAATAGCATCAGCAAAGATACAAAAACATGTATTGGCATGAGATGTGTAGGGAAACTAAGCAGCTAGAGAGTAGAGATGAATGTGATTGGTAATACAGACAGGAATTAGCTCACAGAGGCCACTGAGGCCACGACCTTGGACTATATGATTTAGAGAAAGGGAAACTCTCAGATTTTAATGTAGATCAGTGTTTCTCAAACATTTTTAACCAAGACCCATAAGAAATACATTTCATATTTTCTGTAAACTGAGACCCATCCTCAGATTCTAGAGGCCACCACAATCTTTGGCTTATGGCACCTCCCTGAAGCTGCCACTTGCAGATTTTCATATCAGCCCTTGTCCTATCATAGCTCCCTGACCGACATTTTTGCCTCTCTCATCCACTTTTAAGAACTCACTTGATTAGTTTGGGCTCATTTAGTAACTCAAAAATTCTCAAAACAGGATACTCTCTCCGTCTCAGATAGTTAGTGGTAATTGCATCTCCAAAGTCCCTCTGTCATGTAATGTAATATATACACATGTTCCAGGGATTAAGTCATGAGCATCTTTGGCAGGCCATATTCTGCCTACCACAGGGATGTTTATAGGGAGTTTTTTAATAGCTTAGATTTCTTTCCCCTTTATCCCTTTTTCTTCCTTTTAATAAACATTTATTGAGTACTCTTTCCTAGTGCTAGGTGCTGGCATATAGCAGTGAGCCAATGTTCCTGCTCTTATGGTGGCTTAAATTCTCACACAAAGATTGATGACAAACAAGTAGTCAAGTAAATAAATACAGTAGTTACATGCTGTACCATGAAGGTAATAAAAGGGTGATGAGTAGAAAGTAGCTAGGCAAGACCACTTTGGCTAGGTGATCAGGGAGGAGCTCTCTGAGGAAGTAACACATGAGCTAAGATCTGAAGGATATAAGTCAGCCAGCCACTAAGAAACAGAGGAAGAGGATTCTAGCAGAGGAAATGGAAAGTACAGAATCTCTAGGCATCAAAAGACATGTCTTATTAAGGGCACAATCTGAAAGCCAGTATGAATAGAGCAGAGTGAGCAAGGCAGAAAAGTATGGCAAATGATGGTGGAAAGACAGGAGAAGTGAGGCCATACATTGCCTGAGCGATCATGTGTGGTAAGGATTTTGGATTTTATTCTAACAATGATGGACATATTGAAGGGTTTTAAATAGTGGTAGTATGAAACAGGTAATGGAATCTGATTTATAATTCTAAGAGGTAGTCACTATGTGAAAATGTCTTAGCAAGGGGTAAAGATGGATTAGAAAGACACATTAAGGAGCTACTCTAGTCATCTAGGGGAGAGATAACTGTCTTTTGGACTAGAGTGAGGACAGTAGAAATGGAGAGAAGTGGATTGATCTGTGATATATTTTGGAGGTAAAACTGATGAGATTGATGAGATTTGGTTGTAGGGGATGAGAAAGAGGGTGGAATCAAGGATGACTTCGAGGTTTTTGAGCAATTTGGGAGCAAACATGTTATTTACTGAAATCAAAAAGGCTAGAGAAAGAACCAATTTGGAAAAGGAAGGCCAACTGAACGTGTTAATATTGAGTACTCTATTAGAGATCCAAGAGGTGTTGCAAAGAGATAGACTGGAGCATAGAGAGATGTCTGAGTTGAAGATACACATCGGAGATCATTAGCATACAATGAGCTGAGATCCTCCAAGAGTTGAAAGTCAGGAGGAAAAGGAAGAGCAACTAGCAAAGACTATTGAAAAGATGAGTGATGACTAAGCTAGAGGTAGAAGAGTCAAAGGGGCAAGTAGGCACATTCCTATAAACCCACTAGAGCAGGGGCATCTGGGTGGCTCACTTGGTTGAGCATCCCAACTCTTGATTTAGGTTCAGGTCAGGATCCCAGGGTTGTGGGATCAATCCCTGTGTAGGGCTCTGGCTTAAGATTCGTCCTCTCTCTCTCTCCTTTTCTCCCTCTCCCCCTCCCATGCTGTTCTGCTTTTCTCTCCTGCTCACTCACATATGCTTGCCCCCCCCAAAAAAACTAAAAAAGCAAAACAAAACAAACAAAAAACACTAGAGCAGTACTGTTATATCTCTAACACTTAACATTTTGCCTGGAATATGAAAGTTAGCCTATTTAATGAATAAGTTAATTTTTCTGAGAATGCCTAGTATGTTCTGGCACATCTCTAGGCATGGGAGTAAGAGGTGAACATTTGCATTGGCTGGTTCCCAATAGCCTAACATCACAGAACTTTCCTGCCTATATTATGGATTTTTGGCTTACCTTTAAATAGATTTTAGAGAATTTCTTAATAATTAGTAGAGCCATTCATTAGGTTTAAATTTGGAAACAATCAGAAATCACCAGCTTGCATTTTCTGAACCATTCAAGATAGAAATACTTAGTAAAATAAATGAGTAACAAATAAAGAAGCAAACAAACAAGTAAAAATGAATTCCTATAGAAGACTCCAACAACTCCCTTTCTTACAACCAGAGATCAATCTTTTACTAAGTTCTATGAGAGGGTTATGAGCCACTTTTTAATCTTCTGTTAGTTCTGGAAGCACATGAATATACCGGAAATTCTCATTAGTCTTGGGATTTAACACCATTATGTTTGAATATAATGGTGCAACCCTGTTTGGAAGAAAACAATTTTTGTGTGAAACTGAGGCTCAGAAGGTTAAGTAACTTGCTCACAGTCTTAAAGTTCTTAAATCCAGTACTACAGGACTCCAGAGGCTATGCCTCTTCTCCCACCCTTTGCCGACTCCAAGAAGCATAAGTGAATGGGGGTTAGAGGTGGTTAAGATTTCCAATTTACGAGTTTTAAATGTATATTTCATTTAAAAAAATCATAATGATATAGAGAAATTAAAGGGGAATTTTAAGCCCTTCTGAATGATGTTGGTTCTGGTATTTTCTGAATGTATTTGACATGAATGAATTTGTTTTCTTTACAAGGAAAATTACAGAGGTGTATTCCAGAGTTGACTGTTCATGGCACATACAAATGGAGGGTACTCACTGGCACTTATTTTTATCATTGTGTTGTTGGTGGTTAAAGCAAATATAGGTAAGATGTTTCTATAATTGAATTAGTAGAAGTATTTGTGGTTTAAGTTCTCGGTTACAGATGAAATATGTATTTGTGGCAATTGTTCTGGTAGTTTGTCTTTTGTAGTCAATCTTCTGTCATTTTAAGTGGGTATATCTGGTTCCATATCTATAACAAATATACATTTTATTTAACTTATACTGATTAATATGAGTCCAATCATATCATTTCTCCTTAAGTGGCTAGGTAACCACAAAACTGACATTATGAATGAATGTTTTACTAAAATGATAGTGCGTTTTAACAGAGGTTGTTTATGAGTGAATTAAACTATGCTAAAAAAAAAATAACAGCTGACGTTTTCCCTGCTTTTTCTTTATTGGGAGCTTACTTTTTTACTTTCTAGCTCATTAAGATCAACAAAAATTAAAGATGCAGAGAACCTATATATGAGTAGGATGGGGTGAGGAAAGAGAAAAAGGGAGAGAGTTTTTCAGTTCTAAAATAGAATTTTTTATTTGAAGTGAATTTTTAGTATTTCCTTTATTTGATTTAAGTAACTTTTTCCTACCAATTCCTGTTTAGGGTAGTTAAAGCAATCTTAACAATTACAAAAAACAAAAACAAAAACAAAAACAAAACCCCAAGACTTTCAGTAGAAACTTTCTACCACATCTGATAATTCATTGCAAATCTATAATTCTGAGGTCCTTTCACCAGCAGTACTACCGAAAACCATTTGTTTCTGAATAGTTGTCATATTTATTTACACAAAAGCTTCTGGAGAGTAAGAATGCCCTCTCTTTTAATGAGTTTAATATAGTATCTGTCAATAAACAGACTCTTTTAAAAAGAAGAACACGTTCATGTAATATCATATTAGCTGTATTGGGTTATGGTTCATCTAGCCCAAGGTCTTGCATCTTGAAGGAATACCAAAATATGGCATGGTAAGACCTAATTTGCATCCTTGATGCCAACCACAAGCATAAGAGAGCCACTGAATATGTTCTTTTGTTATAAAATAATGTTCTAGATTATACAGACTTTATACTACTAATACGGCAAGAGAACGTGTTATTCCTAAATCTACCCCTTAGAGTTTGTGATAGCCCCTTACACCATTATTTTTCTTTTTGGTGTGAGTATTGAAGTGAGGCTTATAAATCATAAATGGGAATGGAAGCAAGTGTAATTTATTCTGGGAAGTACTTTTGAGTAGTTTGAGGAATAAGCTGCGTATGAGAGAGGTTGATATTTCCTGGTCCCATGTTCCTGAATGTTCTCCCAACACTATTTTCTCAGCACTTTTAGTTCTGGTTACAGTATTACTGTTTTGAGAACAATGCATATTTTAATTCAAACACAGTTAGACTTTAATGTGGTTACCTTCTGTTCTCATTGTGCATCACCAATTCAGCCAGAGCAATTGTAGATTATTTATATTTCCATGATTTGACCCATCAAAGGTAATTTTACCCTGCTCTTGAGGATTACACAAACCCACCATTTTGAATGGATTTCTTATGTGCTGACTTGTGTCTTATTGCAGATGTATGCAAGAGAGGAGATGTGACTGTGAAGCCTTCCCGTGTAATTTCACTTGGATCAGCTGTCAATATTTCATGCTCTTTAAAGCCTGAACAAGGCTGCTCACAATATCCCAGTGTTAACAGGTTAATCCTCTACAAGTTTGACAGACAAATCCATTTTCTGCATGGTCACTTCCTCAGTTCTCAAGTCACTGGTCTTCCTCTGGGTACAACCCTATTTCTCTGCAAACTGGCATGTAGCAAAAACAAGGAGTTTCGAATTTGTGGGGCAGAGATTTCCGTTGGTGGTGAGCATTCCATTCTGAATTCTAAAAACTAGTCATCTTTCAATATTTGTCATGTGTTATACAGAAATCCAAATATAGGACAGTGTTCTTTCTTTTCCTGCCACATGGATATATTTTATCTTGATAGCCATATGAGCATCTCATTGTAAGAAATCCAGAAATCAATAGAAATGGGGTCTCACTTAGTAGTGTTGTCTCTGTCTCTCCCTCTCTCTTTCTCCCTCTCTCTTTCCCTCCCCACTAGTGTTTTACCCATTGAGACCGTTTACCTGCTGTCCTTGGACTCCAGTGGTAGGAAAGAGAATCCCTGCAGCTGACTCTTCATGCCTTCTTGATTTATGAGAATTTATTCAAAGCTAAAACCTCCTAAAAAGATGAAAGAGGTACCTTTTTTGACTAAAGAAGTCCAGGCTGACCACCCGAGGCTGACCAGTTCTCCTTTCCCTAATTTAATGGTCCTTACATCCATACTCACTCCTGACCACTGGTTCTACTTAGCAGAGGTTAAAAGAGAACTGTTGCCACACTATCTTTAGCTGGGTTTTCTAGAAAGCTCCCTGAAGCAGAACTGACATGCTCATGCTTCATTGGGAGAAGGGAATTCTATAGTCTCAGGGAAGCAAGAATGGGAGGGTGAGCCATGAAAAAACCAACGCAAACAGAAAGAGGTCAAGTTACTGAGCTCGCCACAGCATCAGAAGAAAATACAGCTGATTGCTTGGTCACTTAGGGACATTCCCAGAAAAAAAAATGTATGGAAATACAATGACAGAGAAAGAGAAGAATTTAACTGTCTGTTATTGGTCAAAGTTTGGCCACAGGGTATCAACTCCCCTACATGCTGGCTTGCACCGCCGGTCCCTCCAGGCCACTTCCGGGAGTAACAACTAAGACATCAGAGTCGGCATCTACAGCATGACCCACAGTGCCTAGGGTGAGCTGGAAGTACACCTGCCTAATGCTTGTAAACTGCAGCCTACAGTCTATAGCCTTGAGAGCCCAGCCAGGCAGTCCAGTGAGCATGGATGGGCTCTGAGTCATCCCATCTCATTCTGTGCTTCCATGTTTCCAGATAAGCTCTGGAGTGGCCAGTGAAAGGCATGGGGGAGTAGGAGGAATTGGTATAGTAGAATGACTGACCAAGATGCAAGGACAGGGCCTCTGACATGAAGACAGCGATACAGAGCTCAATGAGACTCTTTCCTAAAGATGGAAACCATTATTCTTTGACCTGCAAGGATATGGTTGGTGCCAAGCAATTTTGCCTGAGAGTCACCAGAAGCACTGAGCAGAATACCAAGCAAACATCTGAACAAATCACTGGAGGCTAAAACATAAACCAGACCCAGACCTCCTCTTCCAGTTCAGGGCTTCCTATGCACTTATGGGTCATGTACTCTTGGCTCTGACTGCCTATGGTATCCTAAAAGGAACATGGGCTTTAAAGCCCAACCCTGTCACTTAGCAGTAGGCAGTTTCAATTCTCTGAGCCCCAGTTTTTCTGTGTTATGAAGATACTAACACCTACTTCAGAAATACAGTTGTAGTGAATAGATGACACTTGGTATGCAAAGTGTTTAATCTAGTACTAGGCACTTGGAAAGCACCTAATGATAAGCTTTAGGGTTGAAGTTTCATCCGGCTTGACTCTTTTCTGCCTGTGCACAGTGTGTCGGGGTGTGTGGGGTAGGCAACCCCATTTTCCTTAAAAGAAAGGACAAGAAAGTGATAGACAAAATCAAAACTTTTCTAAAAAAACACCATTGGCCCTCACCTTCATTGTCCTCAGAACACCTGAGTATTTCACCTGAGGTAACTTGCCATCTTACTAGACCAACATTACATGTGTATTAGATATTCCCTGGCGTAGATGTCAGTTGTGGGTGTTCACAGTGCTGCTGATGTTTTCTTCATATTTACTAGGCTAACAATAGCCTTAAAGGCAGTGTCCTTGCACATGTCTTTAGCCATCCCATTCCATTTCATACCTTTTCTTAGGTAAGTTAGAGTGCTACAACCCCTTTTCATTTAAAAATTTTTCCATCCAGAATGTGCAGATGCATTTGTGACAGTTTCAACATCAGAAAACCTAGGGAGATGGTCAAGAGAATCTTTCACAGTGCAGCAAAGTTAGGTGATGCTGCTGGAATGTTACTTGCACAGTGTGCTCCAGTGTGGTAACCACACCATCAGATGGCTGCTCTTTAACCAAGGTTAGCACCTTTGAGGTGAAGGACTGACTGGAAGCAGCACCTTTTTCTGAGTATGGCTAGTCATTCCAAGAAAAGACATAATGAATTTTGATTTCACCTAGTATAGTGAAATCCTATCTAGTGAGGGAATAAAGGGTAAAGTGAGGGAGTAAAGAGCCCCTTTTCTTTTTTGTGATAAGTGGTGTCCACAGTGCCATTATATACCCTGAGAATGCTGTCATAAAGTTGGCTGTTTTCTCAGAACTGGGAATGGGTAATTTAGCCTTTCTTCCCAGCCCTTTCTAGGGCTTGGACTGCTCTGCTGCCAAGGCCTCTTTCAAATTGTGTAGTAACTAAGCAATCAGTGCTCTAGTTTAACCTCATAGGATTGATCCACAAACTATTTAGAAAATCAAGGCAATAAATGAGGGACAATGGATTCTTGCTTGGGTGGGTTTTTTTTTAATGTGTGTTTATTTATGAGTGACAGAGAGTAAGAGAGAGCGAGTGAAGGAGGGGCAGAGATAGAGGGGAACAGAGAATTCAAAATGGCCTCTGTGCTCATAGCAGAGAGCCTGCCCCAGGACTCAACCTATGAACTAAGAGATCATGACCTGAGCCGAAGTCAGATGCTCAATCAATTGAGCCATCCAGGTGCGCTTGGGTGTTTTCAACATATGCTAGGCTGTTGATATTTCTGAAAACTGTTTTTCCAAGACAATTAATTTCCCATAGTAAATAGGGCTTTTAAAAACAACAATAACCATAGTACTCATAACAATTTATTATATTATAAGCTATTTTAATTTTAAGAGGCTTTTATTTCTGTCCTTTTTTTTGATGTCAGCTATTATACACTTGTATTGAAGAGAATAAGGTCTGTTTTCCCCTGGGACAGATAGTCTCTGCCAAAACCAAGTCCTGGGGTGTGGGGACCTCACATTGGGAAAGTTGATTTGTGAGTAAAAGCTGTGCTCTTTAAAATGAGAGTCTCTAGGGGCGCCTGGGTGGCTTGGTCGGTTAAGCGTCCGACTTTCGCTTAGGTCATGATCTTGCGGTTCGTGGGTTCGAGCCCCGCGTCGGGCTCTGTGCTGGCTGCCAGCTCAGAGCCTGGAGCCTGTTTCAGTCTGTGACTCCCTCTCTCTCTGACCATCCCCTGCTCACGCTGTCTCTCTCTCTCTCTCCTAGAAATAAATAAAAAACATTTAAAAAAAATAATAATATAAAAATAAAATGAGAGTCTCTGAAAACTTTTAGGAGTAAATGTATGAGTGAGAACTAGCTTTTTCTTTACTTAAAAGTACCACATGCTTTATATGTCATTTGGTCATCAAAGGACCCTAAGAAGAGTTAGGGTAATAATGGTGGTTTGAAGACATGTATATACATTCATCTCCCTTGAAATTAAGCCAAGATGCAATAAAGTTTTCTAGAGGCACAAACCCTAAAGGACAAAAAGATGGGAGAGAAGACATATCAACAAACTTATGGAAGCTAGAAAGCAGGTAGACCAGTAATAATTGGCTTAGCCAGCAGCTGGCAATGAGAAATGTCGTGAGGCAACATGATTGAATGCAGAAGATTCCAACCCAGAAAGCAGAAATTGGTGATACTATGTCTTTCTGGGAGTAAGGACTAAAAATGAGAGATTTGGTTGAAATTCTATTTGAAAAACAGATTCTCAGATCTCTTTCCAAATCCCATGTAGCTAGACATTCACTGCTCTACTACTCTGGCATAAGACTGGAGACTTGGCATGAGAGGGTCACTAAACTAATTCCAACCAGTTCAGCTGAGATTGGTAATACCATGCTGAAAAACAGAGGGATTAAAGGAACATCTACATATAGCTCCCTTCAATGCTGTTCCCTCCCCCACTCAAGTTAGAATATACTTTTCTGAGAAATATGACAAGGCCAAGAGGAAGTATCTAAGATTATTGACAATACTGGGGCACCTGGGTGGCTCAGTTGGTTGAGCATTCGATTTCAGCTCAGATAATGATCTCCCCATTTATGGGTTTGGGCTTTGGGTCAGGCTATGTGCCGACAGCTGGAAGCCTGGAGCCTGCTTCCAATTCTATGACTCCCTCTCTGCTCCCCCTCTCCCGTTTGTGCTCTGCCTCTCTCAAAAAATAAATATTTTTTTAAAAATTTTAATAAACTAAAATAACAGTACAGATCTCAAGATCTCCCTGGAGTGAAACCCAAAGTCAGCAAATGCCCCTCAACTGACACACATACAGAGAGCTTCAATCTGTAATTTAGTGCTTCACTTCTATACATGAGTAAAAATATAAGGATCTGGGGAAAATGTCTACTATGAAAGATAGAAACCAGAACAAACATATGGAACAAAGCATATAAGCAAAGTGGAAAAAATAGAGTGTATTCAGGGAGAAGAAATATTTTTTTAAAACAACTGTCCTTGATACCCTCAGAGAATTGAGAGAAGCTATTGCATACAGAACAAAAATAGGTTGGTGTATGGAAAGAAAATATTCAGAGAATAGAAAATATGGCCCCCAAAGATAAACAAATGAAAAACTTAATAAGCATAGACATATATACTGAGGAAGTTTTTCTTTGATGGTAGAGCAGAAAGATCAAGAGCTTAAAAATACAGAGGATAAGACAAAATTAGAGGAAGATCCAACCTATGAAAATGAGATGTTTAGAAAGAAAAAAATTGAGAAGAGAGAATCAACAGAAAAATAATTCAAGACTATTTCCCAAACTGAAGGACAAAAGTTTCCCAAACTCAGAGAATCCAGAAGAAAGTAGACCCTCATTAAGCACATATTTCTGAAAAATCAGAATAGTGGGAACAAAGAAAAGATTTTACAGTCTTCTGAAGATTAAAAACAGTGGTTCAATAATCAAAATGGCTTCAGGCTTCTCAACAGCACCCTAGAATATGGAAAACAATAGAGCATTGCCTTCGGAATCCTGGATGAAAATTCTTCTTAATTTAGAATTCAGTACTCAGCCTAAGTATCCGTCAAGTGTGAGGGTAGAATAAAGATATTTTCAGTCATCGTCAAAATAATTCCTTCTTGTATCCTTTTCCAGGGAACTACTGGAGGATATACCCCACCAACACAAATACTTAAGGGAGAAGAAAGAATTAGATTTAAGAAATAGGAGATCAAACACCAGAAAAAGAGTAATTTCCATGATACTAAGGACTGGCAATATCAGAATAACAGCTATTATACCAGCCACAAGGCAAACTTATCTTATTGGAAAGTTTACAAGGACCCAAGAAAGAGGTCTTCAGGCAAATGAAACAACATTTGAATATGTTAAACAGTGATTCAGATAACTGGCTTGAGAGTTTGGAATTAATAATAAGAAAACTAAACAAATGGAGAAACAAGACAATTTATTACTGACTCCAAGATAAATAAAAAGTAGTACATAAAATGAGAAGTTAATGTAGTATTCTAAGTGGATTGGTCATAAGGAGTTATGTATACAGATATGTACAGTGTATTTGTACATTTAACCATGTTCACAATATTTTCTTCCCTGCACCCTTTCCTAGGGAACTGTTACAATGTATACAGAGTGTGTGTTTCATATGTAATATATTTCATATGTAATTTGAAATACATATGTATTTCATATGTAATATTCATATGTAATATTCAATGTAATATATAAATATTCATATATATATGAGTCTGTTCTTTCAGGAAAAGAAAGTTTATTATTCCATCAAACAAAACTATATGAGCTTCATATTATTATACCCATTTTATAGATGAAAAAATTGAACCTCTGAGAAGTTTTCTTGTCCACCATCACATAGTGGGCAATCATCATGCCCAAGTCTGTAATGTTTGCTAAGGACGACAAAAGAAGAAAAAAGGCCATTTATTCCATCAATTACAACTTTTTATTTTTGGTGCAGAGAATATCTAGGGCTTTAGTGATATACTTTTTTTATCTCACCCAAAGGAAACATCTATTACATGTGGGTCTCAGTATTAGAATACAATGAGATGAATGATTAACAGATTGTTTTCCCTTACCTTCACTAAATCTGAGAAACTGCTAGCTTTGGGTTTTGCCTTTGACTATAAAATAGCTTAATTTACAAATACACACCTTACGGTAAGGGATCTTGCCTTGTACACATTTGTATGTCCATAGCTAACACTGTGCCCACCCCAGGGAAGGTACTCAGTGTCCATGTACATAAAGAATCATCTTATAAATGCTTATGAAGTGTTGAAAGTGATGCTACAGAAATCAGATTTAGCTGGTACAGCTCAGAAGGACATGACTAGGGCTAGTTGGTAGAAGTGTCTTGGGAGCAAATATCAGGTCTAGGAAGAGAAAGAGCCCCTAATTTTTAAAGGTTTCTAATATTTGGGGGCACTTGGGTGGCTCAGTCAGTTGAATATCCAGCTTTGGCTCAGGTCATGATCTTGTGGTTCATGATTTCAAGATCTGCGTCTGGCTCTCTGCCATCAGGTCAAAGCCTGCTTGGATCCTCTGTCCCCCTCTCTCTCTCTGTACCTCCCTGCTCATGCTCGCTCTCTCTCAAAACTAAACATTTAAAAAACCAGTAAAGTTAAAAAAATAAAGTTTAAAGGTTTCTAATAGTTTAATGGACTTCACTCTAAATCTAAATCAGTAAAATCATCACCAGTGGTAATGAAGCTAGCACTGGATATTCAGCTGCCAGGGTAAATGGTGGAGTATGGTGGTAAAAGGCTTGGACTCAAGTCAGCTGCACCAGGGCTGGAGCCCTGATTCTGCCACATCACAGTTTTGTAATTTGGGGCAAGATATTTAACTTCTGAGTTTTAGTTTCCTCTTCAATACATTGAGGATGATAACAATAGGGATGCCTGGGTGGCTCAGTCGGTTAAGCATCCAACTTCGGCTCAGGTCATGATCTCACGGTTCGTGGGTTCGAGCCCTGTGTCAGGCTCTGTGCTGACAGCTAGCTCAGAGCCTGGAGCCTGTCTTTGGATTCTCTAACTCCCCTTCTCTCTGACAATCCCCTGCTCATGTTGTCTCTCTTAAATAAAGACATTCAAAAAATTATTTTAAAAAAACAATGAATATTTGATGTAGTTGCTATGACATCTAATTGAGAAAAGCCACCCACAGTGCATAAGACTCAGCATGTAGCGTTTGATCCATATTTGCTATTGTTATTAGAAGACATTCATGCCGTGGAAGCAAATTTGAACTTGATGGAATCTAGACATAGGGAAAGTATCGTTATCTTGTTGTGAAATAACAATGTGACTAGGATATGAACTGTGTACCGTTTAAAATGCGAGGCTTTGCACTTCCTTTTTAAAGTTGTTCCGGAGCAACCTCAAAACTTATCTTGTATACAGAAGGGAGAACATGGGACTGTAAACTGCATCTGGGACAGAGGACGAGACACCCACCTGTATACTGCATATACTTTACAGTGAGTGAGAAACTGTATTTTTGCACTTGTTTTGTAGGTATTATCTTGGACTATAATTAGGAATTCAGTTAGATGTACACTTAGAAATAACAGTTTTATATTTACCAGAGAGAAGCAATAGATACCTCTAGATAATTAGATATTTTAACAAAAATTCTAGTGTTCATCAATTAAAACTGATTCATTCATCCAAATGTAAGAACTGATGTCTTGGGTCAGCAATCTAACTCAGAGTTCTCTTCAGAGCATTCAAGGCTTATGTTATGCATGTTCCTTCCTGCTCTAATAGGGTTGAACTGGCTGAATTATATCTCTTCTTTTGTGGTTGCAGACTCTTGGGGTCATAATATATAGACTCCTCCTTGTGGTAGCTTTCCATTAGCTTTGGAGGAGTTTCTTTTCAAAGCACCTTTGTGTGATCTGGAAGTCCATACAAAGAAGAGTCTGGAAGATTCTGTTCCCTGGAGTTGATTCCATAATCCTATCCAAAGATCCAGCACTATGCCGAAGTGAGCAGGAAATGGGGGAAAGAAAGTAGAGCCCAAGGTTCCAGGCTGTACTAGAAGTTGGTACTTCTTTCTGTGCAGTGAATGCCTAGGGCCATGGATCTTTGGATTACAGTTGGATCTGCCCTGAGGAGTCAGAATGTCAGCCAGGTTTTTGGGCTATGTATCTATATGCACATCAGAAAGTCTCAATCTGGAGTGCTTGGGTGGTTCAGTTGGTTAAGCCTCTGACTCTTGATCTGAGCTCAGGTCTTGATCTCAGGGCTATGAGTTCAAGCTCTGCATTGGGCTCTATGCTGGATGTGGAGTCTACTTAAAAAAAGAGTCTCAATCCTACTAAAAACGGGGAGAAAATATGGTCCCATTTATTACCATAGAATACAAATATTCCCATAATGTATCCAATTGACCTTCACAAAATGTCTAGAATTTTGAATATTTGAATATTATATCCCTTTTGTACTAAAAGGAATAAGTACTCATAAAGTATCTTGCTAAACACAATTGTCTTTTATTTACAGGTTAAATGGACCAAAAAATTTCACTTGGCAGAGGCAATGTAATGATCATTATTGTGACCATTTGGACCTTGGAATTAACCTAACCCCTGAATTTTCTGAATCCAGTTACACAGTCAGGGTTACTGCTATCAATAGTCTTGGAAATGCTTCTTCAGTTCCATCCACATTTACATTCTTGGACATAGGTACATTTTATATCACATTTTGTAGATATCATTCATTGGTACATGAACATTATTTTGAAAATCACTTGAATGTTCTATATGTGATTGTTTCAATAGGGACAATGGCACAAAGATGTTACTTTGATGCAAGGAAAAGAGTGTGTGATCCTAGAGCTTTATGGAGATGACCATACAAAATGGAATATTCAACATTATTCTCTCCATTGGAGAAAAAAGAGCTTAGTCCCATAGAGGCACTAGCTGCCAATCATACTATTTGACTGAGGAGAGGGTCCTGCAGGGTTATTCATGAAACTCAGTGTAGGCATTTGTTGTCAGAGATATCTTTTTACCCCCATGGTTACTCCACTATTCTGAGATAGGCTACCTGTGGGTTTGCTGGGCCAGATCAGAGGTGCAAACTATCAATAAAGTATACCAAGGTGCCAGGGTGGCTCAGTCAGTTAAGTATCCATCTCAGTTTCAGCTCAGGTCATGATTTCATGGTTCATGGGTTTGAGCCCTGCATGGAGCTCTATGCTCACAGTGCGGAGCCTACTTGGGATTCTCTCTCTCTCTCTCTCTCTCTCTCTCTCTCTCTCCCCCCCCCCTTCCTCCCCCTCTCTCCCCCTCCCTCCCACCTCTGCCCACTCTGTCTCTCAAAATAAATAAGCTTTTTTTAAAAGTGTATCAAGGCACAAATGTATCTTGCTCTGAGAATACCTACTTCCATTCTTCTCATCACTTGGGAGCTGGAGCGAGCCAGTCTCAGCACATTTCTGAGCGAATATAATTGGCCCAGTTGAATCAGAAGCCACTGTCAGGTATTCCCCAGGTAGGACTGGGCTTCTGGTCTGCCTTAACTTCCAGCCTTACATTATGTGTCTCTCTTCTCTCTTCCCACAACACCTCTTTGCACAGCACATATTGCTATGGATCTTGACACAGGCATTTATTATACCTTACCTATCATACTTCTTCATTGACTATTTCTCTGTAAGGCATCTTCTTTTCCTCTTATTATTTTCCTCTGTTCTCTGTTCCTGTGTCCCTTCTGTATGATCTTTCCCTACCACCATTTCTTCTTCTGAGAGGTGATCACCAGTAGCCATCCCTGCCTTGTCAGCCATTGGAACTCTTGGATTTGGTACACTGGTTTTCTTTATACACTGGATTAAATGCAGTTGATACTATCACTAATGTTGGAGGTAGTTTATTTGGTAAAAAAATGAGGGTAGATTAAGGAGAATTATTTTAATTATTTAGTAGTGGATCAAACTTTTTTCTCTCTCTCTGTAAAAGCCAGGGATTTCCCTCTTATATATGTCACCATCTTTGGTAGTCATGCATCTTAGAAATGAACTGTTCCTCCTGGCTTATGTCAAATCAAAGGTTATTTCCGATTTTGGAGACTGAATCACACTTTTTTGTTTGTCCTGATTACTAGTGAAGCCTCTTCCTCCATGGGACATCAGAATCAAATGTGTAAATGCTTCTGTGAGCAGATGTATCCTTCAGTGGAGAGATGAAGGACTGGTGTTGCTTAATCGACTCAGATACCGGCCCAAGAGCAGCAGGTCCTGGATGATGGTAATGGTTTTTAGAGTAAAGGGGAAAACCAGGGAGGGGCTCTGTCTTTTCATGCCAGCAAAATATGAGGTTTAAGAATATTTATCCCTAAAGTACACACTTGAGAGAGATCATAAAGTCATATTACACCTCTGTTTATTAAGAAATATCTTGAATTTTGATCGATTTTGAATTTTTTTAAGCCACAAGCTTCTGTAAACTCATATTAATTTTCTACAATTAGTAAAGGATTCATTGTACCTCTGTTATGTACTCTTTTACTTTTTAGTAATCTTTTTTTTACATATTAGAAAATAGGACATGTCCAGGGGCGCCTGGGTGGCTTAGTCGGTTAAGCGTCCGACTTTCGCTTAGGTCATGATCTCACGGTTTGTGGGTTCGAGCCCCGCGTCGGGCTCTGTGCTGACTGCCAGCTCAGAGCCTGGAGCCTGTTTCAGTCTGTGACTCCCTCTCTCTCTGACCCTCCGCTGCTCACGCTCTCTCTCTCTAGAAATTAAAAAAAAAAAGAAAATAGGACATGTCCATAGAGGCTTATATGGAATTGAATATTCCAAAGATAAAGCCCACACTTTTATATATTAGACATTAATTTTTTTATAATTAAATTTTAGGATTGTAATTCCTCCTAGTATATTTGTAAAATATAATGGCTTATAATAATAACAAAGGATAAGTTCCACATATAACTGGAACTCAGGAGAAATACAGTAATTACTTTTTTAGTATGATTAAAAGTTTCTTTTTGAAGCTGTTCTATGTCTGTGATAAATGCTTTATCACATTCTAATTATGACCAAATAAAAAACAGCCTCTAGAAAATTCTCCAGGTTTTTTCTGAAAAGGGGTATTTTTTCAACCTTTACTAATTTTTCAGCTTGTTTCAGTATCCCCTTTGAGACCCTTATAGATGGGTTCTTACTCCCCAGGGTTTGTTTTTAATGAGAAGCTATTTCAGATTAACATGTATATTCAGTAATCCTGTCACTGGTATTTTTTCTCAATGAATTACAGATGTAAAAAAAGAGAAAGGGTTAACTACTCAAGTTTCTTATCTATGTGTGTCAAAATTCTTTAATTTTAATAGATACTTTTAAAAATCTTGTCTGTTTCAAGGTCAGTCCTACAAATGCCAAAGGAAGACAGGATCTTCTGGATCTGAAACCATTTACAGAGTATGAATTTCAGATTTCCTCTAAGCTACATGTATCTAAAGGTAGCTGGAGTGATTGGAGTGAACCATTCAGGACCCAAACACCAGACGAAGGTATGTGTTTTAGAAAGGAGGGCGGGAGGAGAGAGAGGAGAGACAGGAGAGGGATCTCTAAAGTACTGGTACTGAATCAACAAGTTAATTTAACATATTAAATAACAAGGAAATGGGTATATTAATTAAGTTAATTTTGACATTAGCTTAAGTACTGTAATTATCCAGGGAGATATGTTTATATTTTAAGTTTACTTATTTATTTAGAGAGAGAGAACACATGTGTACAAATGGCAGGGAGGGGTAGAAAGAGAGGAGAAAGAGAATCTAAAGCAGACTCCACACTATTAGCGCCAGCCCAACACTGGTCTCAATCTCACTAACCATGAGATCATGACCTGAGCAAAAATCAAGAGTTGGACACTTAACGGACTGAGACACCCAGGGTGCCCCCTATTTCTATTTCTTGTTTCTATTACTGTCTCAGTAATTCTCTCGTTCCACAAAACCACAACCAGTAATTTCATTCCCTTATAGTTAAAACTTGATACATTTTACCTTCTGGGTTCTATGAAAATTAAAAGCTTGAAAGAAGGTAGACTCTGGAGACATACATTTTAAAATAAAGGTTAACATCCCCCAGTCCTCTCTCCTCTATATATTACAGCACTGCACTTCATCATGCCTTTGATACACACTGCTCAAATGAGGACCACCAGCCTGCCCATAGCTATGGAAAGGATATCAAATACATTTCTCAGTCTGATAGGCTTTTCTTTTTGGTAATTATAGGGAAGACAACTTACTAAGGTGTAAGGTATAATCAAACTAAGATGTAATCAAACATTTGCTTGATGAACTTGATGTCAATATTAACACAAATATTAACACAAATAGCTATTGAAACACAAATAGCTATATGAACTTGATGTCAATATTAATAAGTCTTTGGATACACAAGAAATAATCATCTGAATATTAGTCTTTAAAAGCACTCATTTACTGACATAGTGTACAGCTTTTCAGTCTGTAAATTTGGCTCATAAGAAAAATTATTGGCATATAATCCATTGCTTTATTATCTGAATATTTTAAAGTATTAATGTGAGAAATCTGAATGTTTATTTGTAAAACTTACGGATATGTATGACTGTAAATTAGTTTCATGACATGAATTCATTTTTCTGTGAGCTGTGAATGGCCTTTGATAGCTGATGACACTTATTGATACCCAGGTGACTTTCAAGTATCCAAAGAGACTATTACTAAAATATAATACCTAATATATAAATTGTAGAATAATCACTATTTCCCTTTCTTCATATATTAATTGCATTTCTGTATTTTAAAAACTATTTTAAAATAAATCCATCTAATACATTATAATTTATTCCCTCTCATTTATGATAAAAACCTCTTAAAATTAATGTTGAGCCACTTGCTCTCTGTTTAAATGTTTGTCATTTTTATAATCCAGAGCTTTTTAAGCATAGTCAAAGTAATACGTTTTTTCCAATGCTTCATGTATGAGACTTTGTTTATGTGTCCTACAGATAAAATTTTTGAAAATGGGCCATATTTTGGGGCACCTGGGTGGCTTAGTCGGTTAAGCATCCGACTTTAGCTTAGGTCATGATCTCGTGGTTCGTGGGTTCGAGCCCCACGTCAGGCTCTGTGCTGACTGCCAGCTCGGAGCCTGGAGCCTGTTTCAGAGGCTGTGTCTCCCTCTCTCTCTGACCCTCCCCTGCTCGTGCTGTCTCTCTCTCTCTCTCCTAGAAATAAAAAAATTAAAAAAAAAAAAATGGGCCATATTTTATGTCCAAGGCCAGGGTAGTAAATAGGCTGAGCAGTTTTTAAGTTCTGTCACATTAGTCTTAAATATAAACCAGGGAAATTCTGGGCTTGTGAATTCTTGTCATTCTTACTGACATTTAATAATGACCTCTTTGGAGATGTCATTATTAAAGACAAAAAATAGGTTTTTTTTCTTTTTCTTTTTTTGTTTTTCTGAAAGTATTTGTCTGTTGAATTAAAAACAGTTCAAGATAGGACCGTAACAACAGTAATTTTCTCAAAGCCCCTAAAATAAACCACTATCATAACAATGAGTGCAGCAACTTGTTATGGTTGTGAACTCATGGACAGTTATGAATTGAAGGAACTGGCTTCTTCACAGTAATTGCAGGCATTCATGAAGAGAGAAACCCATACTCTGAGATGCATCACATTTACCAAGCTCTGTTGGTTTCCTTTTAGTGTCTGCATCTCCCTTTTCTGTGTTTCATCTTTCTGGGGTTGATGTAGGACCTCTTCCCTCTTACTCTAAGCGGCTTGGTTTTTACCCCTTACCGCTATTTCTGTCATCAGTTTCTTTATGAAACACCAATTGATGTAAACCAAAAAGGTGTGAATTTTTTTTAACACTTCTTACTTTTCAGCCTTTGAATGTGTACTCATATGTAACTTGGCATTAAAAAAACTTACTAGTAAGCTTTTTTTTTCTTTTTAGTTACTCTTTAAAACTTTGAATGATCTTATGATAGAGTTCTTTGGAGCCTTTGCTGCCTATAACTAAGCAATTTTTATCTTCTGGTGGATTGGGCACAGTTATTTAGATCATGTCAGTAGAGAATAAGGGCTTTATTTACTCCATATGGCCCTTTCCTAAGTCATTAAATTCAACTCCTCTCATGGTCCTCCATGAAAAACACTTTTTAAATGGCCATTAAGTAAGGAGTAGAAGGAAAGAAACTGCTTTCCTCTTTGTAACAGGACAGTCCCTCAATCTGTGTCCATCAAAAGCAGGTCTGATACTGGGAACTGAGCAACCATATTTGGCCTGTGGTGGGAAAACATTCTTGAGTTTGGGCTGCATGGTCTCCAGGCACATCTGGCGAAGTAAGGTGTTAGAGTAGGGGATTCCCTCACCACCTAAAACACCCAGGAAAAGACTCCAAAAAAAAGATGAACAAGCCATTCCTTGGAGCTATACTATAAATTAGGTGTTTCTGTCTGCTCATTCACCATTTTTTTTAAAGTCTAATTTACATGTTTTGGTCTTGTTAAACTCTACTATATCCAATTAATAAATAAATGAAATGCTACATGCTTGAACTTACACCAGAGCAGTGAAGGAGTAGACCTCCCTAACCCCTTCCCCCACCCACCGTAAGAGGTGGTGGCATGGGTGGTTGGTGAGACTCCCAAAGGGGAGAAAATGTAGGGTCACCAGTTGCAGCTGCCGCTTCTCACATTGAGAAGCTAGGCAATTCATTCTTTCATTTGTAATTCTGAAATATTGCTAAAATGAGTTAATTTTAGTGAATAGAAGAGCTCTGACCCACGGTAAGCATTCAATAAATTTACCTGTTGTTTTCTTCATTTGAAAAATGAGATGTTAGAGCTAACAGAACTTGTTCAAAGTCTCAGAACTAAGAATTGGAGACCCCGGTTTTGAACACTGGTATGTTTTATCACATAGCCCAAGCTCTTGGCTCTGAGAAAGCCAATTAAATACTCTGAGAAGAAAGTTATTTTACCATTTTGGTTAGCAAGTACTTAATAATGGTTTAGCTTAGGGATAAGCAAACATTTTCTGTAAAAGTCCAAACAGTAAATATTTTCAGCTTTGCCGACCATCTCTCTGTCACCAGTACTAAAATTTGCTATTGTAGTGTGCAAGCAGCCACTGACATGTATAAATACATAGACAATGCCATGTCCCAGTTAAGCCTTATTTATGGATACTGAAATTTGAATTTTGTGCAATTTTCACATGTGACTAAAAATTATTCTTCTGTTTGTTTTCAACCATTTAAAAATGTAAAACCCATTGTTAGTCCACAGGCTAAACAGGGAGCAGATTTGACCCACTGGCTGTAGTTTGCTGACTACTAAATTAGTTTAACCTGAAAATATCATTTATCTGTCTATCTGCCTAAGGCTTGAGGAAAAGAATTAAAGGTTCTTAGCCTTTTAAAGAGACTTACATGCAAACATTTTCATTAGAAGGAAAATGTTATGTTTGAGATCCAGTGACACTCCCTGCCTTCCTCTCTTCTTTGGTCCCCTCTAAGCCCAACATCTATCCTGGAAGAAATCAGTGTCTGAGCTCAACTAATTTGACAAGATGGTGATCACCCCAATAGGAAGAAATACTTTCCATGAAGCCTTCCAAACAGAAACAAATGGGGCAGGGCGGGGGGGGGGGGGGGGGGGGGGGGGGGGCCGTGGGGAATAGTGCTCTAGATGGATCTGTGAGGAAAGTGTGTGTGTATCAGGAACTAGGCCAGGCGCTGGGACACAGTGATAACTGGTCAAATCCTCAGACTTCTAGTCTATTTTGGAACATTAGGGAAAGATTCCTGGAGGATGCAACACCAAGAAGAAATGCAAAGTTCCAACACAATCTTATGGCCTTCCCTCATCTGGAACATATGGCCTTCAAGGTCATTGCAGTAGGAGAAGGGAGCTATTTCCTCCTTGAAGTACTTGATTCTTTTGAATTCTTTGAAATCTCATGTTCCTGGATTTTATTCTTCTTCACTGACCACTTTTTTTTTGGTTTCTTGCTAGTCAGTTTTCTCTTCTCAATACTAATCCCTATGGCTTTTCCCTGGGCTCCTTTCTTTTCCCAGGTGACCTTATCCAGTCCCACAGTTCTGAAACTAGACAGACAGATGACAGGTACATAGATAGATATCTCTGTTTTTCTCCAAAACAAAATGTTTTCAAAATACTATTTATTTCTTATTTCCAAAATACTTCTGTTTCAATATTTTCTATTTTAGTAAATGATACCACCATCTACCTAGTTACTGAAGTCAAAAATCAAGAAATTATCCTTAAATTCTCCTTTTTCAAATAAAAAAATTCTTTTTCCTTATTCCCCAGTACCAGCACTTGACTCTCCTAAACATATTCAAAATCTGTTCATTTATTCTGTTGCCACTATGATTATCCTAGGGTAAGCTACTTTCTCCTTACAAAGATGACAGCAAAATGAATAGTTAATAAACCCACCATTCAACTTAAATACTATAAAATTACCAGTATACTATTGACACTATCCTGATTATATGTTTATCAGTACTTTTCACATAGCTTTCAGAAATGTATGTATCGCTAAACAGTTATTAGTTTTGCTTATTGCCATGGTTGCAATGTCCATAGAATGATAGGAGAAAATCTCAGGTGTGACAGGTTGAGAGTGTGTATGAAGTAAGGGATTAAAGACGACAATTCACAGCTCTTCATGAAATTCTGTGAAAGAGAGCAGAGATGCAGGGCAGTAGTTGGAGCAGGATGTGGTATCAGGAAATGCTTTGTCTGGTTTTGTTTTTAGGATTGGTGAAAATATAGTATATTTTCAAGGTAATGGTAAGGTCCCAGCAGAGAGGGAGAAATTAATAATACAGGAGAAGTCCTTGATAAAGCAAGGGAGGATGGGATCCAGAACTCAGGTTGGGTAGAACTTTGATGGGAGTAGGGATATTATGTTAGGGAATTGATGGTGAACCTTGGAGGTTTACCAGGTGGAAAGATGAGGGACCCCGGATTACTTCCTTTTGCTCAGTGAAGTATGAAGCAAAAGAATCAGTGGACAGAAAAGATCATTAGAAGTGAGGAGGTGGAGGGACCGACAATAGCAGCTACTGAGAAGGAATACCTTGTGGATGGTAGTAAAAGAAGTGAAAAGACAGAGTGAACCAAGTCTTAAACATCATTCATCAAGAAGGAAGAGGAATGGGCGGGGGGGGGGGGGGGGGGGGGGGGGGGGGGGGGGGGGGGGGGGGGGGGGGGGGGGGGGGGGCGGGAATCTGCATAAGGCTTCCCATGGAGGCATAGCAGGTGATAACTAATCTGAAAGTAAAACTTGTTTAATCAAGTAGATACTTGTAAGATCTGCTTGAATTGAGTTGCTTAAAACTAGATTTTAGATAAATGGGTCATCCCCAAAAAGTGAACCTCAAGGAACCAAGGCAGTGAATGACTTATCTCTGTCTTGCTCTGCTTAGAGCATTACTTGGACCAAAAAATCCTCATGTGTTTCATAGAGTCCACTACCTGAAACCTCCCAAGATATGCCTTTTCCATATTTGCTTTGTGTTAAATTCTCCATTTTCACTCTTCTTGGAAATCTTTATACCCCTGAGGAAACTTCTGTTGAAGGATTGCTTTCCACCCATGATTCAGTTGCTCTTGTCCACGTTCCTGATTGCTTTGACTTCAGATATGGATGCTCATTTCAGAAGTATATGGATTGGTTCAGATTTGTTTGCCACACCTACTGTTTCATAGAATCCTAGGATCTTGGGATTTTAGAGTTGAAAGCACCCTCAAGGTCATTTAGGTCAATTTCCTGCTTAATTTAGGATCTTCACTTTTTTTCATATTGGTGACTCTTTTCAACTCAACAGTTTTCCCCTTTATAATATAGGAGGTAGTTTCATCTCAAGAGACCTGACTTACATTTCTCAACACTTGTATTTTTAATCATTGGTACCCATTTGTTTTGTATTCACTTGGACATTTCAACTTTAACTTTCCTTTTTTGGCCTGCTTGTAATAGTTTTATCTGCCTTTGTTGGACAACACTGAGGTTAGACCTTCAAGTGATTTTGTGTCACTTGAATGTCAAAGATTCTCTTTAATATCAGCTCTTATGTTGCTTTAAGCAGCAGTGGTTTGACACCCCTAGTCATGAAATTTTACACTTTGAAACTCATACAGATTCAACTAATGATTTCTCTCCCACAGAGGCTAACACTGCAGGTGGGCACCATTAAAATTTTAGTTTCACTTGCAATTTTTCCTTTGAAGAGACTGTGATTCTAAAATTCAATTCTTAACTCTGTAGTAATCTGGTAGTTGTAGATCTTTAATGAGACAATGAGTGTTCCCTTTAAATTTGTTATTAATAAGTAATTAACTTGAATGCTGACAAAAACTGAGGACTGATGGATGTGGGGGAAGGGGGGATGGGCATGGAGGAGGGCACTTGTGGGGATGAGCACTGAGTGTTATGTGGAAACTAATTTGACAATAAACTATTTGTAAAAAAAAAAAAGTCAAAAAAAAAAAGTAATTAACTGGAGACATTTAGCACTAACAAGTCAATTGGCTTTGACATGGAGCACATCCAAGTTTCCACGTCCTAATTATGTAGTCAATGTCTGGGTTATCTAGTTCGCTCAGATCTTTGCTCAATGTAGTGAACTGTAATGGAAGAGCAGGGTCTTTGGAAACAGGGAAGCCTGTGCTCGGCTCTGGCTTTGCCATTTACCACCTTCACATGTTCTGGAGATCATTTAATCTTGTCAGCCTTCTTGGCCTCACTCTAAAACAGGTGTGATCATACACACACACCCTACATTGTGTGAGGATGAAGTGAGATAATGTGCAGTACATAAAATGTCCAAATATTTCCTGACACATTGTAAGTGGTTAATAACTTCCAAGTCCCCTTTCCTTCTGTTGCCTGCGCTTTTTTCCTTTTTGGATGTGGACTAGCAGATAAAAGTGCTAGGCTTGTTTTCTGGGTCACTCTTCATAATCCTGTAGGATGGATAGCATTTTCAGAATGTCTTAGGTAAGCATTTCTTACCTTTCGGTCCTCACTGCAAGGATATAAGCTACCACTGGTAGGAAAAGAGGGGAAGAAAATAAGTGAATGTTTAGAAAAAAAAAAAAAAAAAAACAGAAAAAGAAGAGGGTGAGAGAGGCAGGAAAAGGAAATTACAAAGGAAGAGGGTAGAACACAGAAGAGCACCTGTTAGGGGTGGGAGTACTGTTGAGAAATCACAAGTCTTCTCAGAGCCAGGTAACTGCGGAGTGCAGAGAGGAGAGCTCCAGCTATGTGATAAAACGAATCAGTGTTCAAAACCTGGCTTCTCCAATGACTAGTTCCATGACCTTGAACAAGCTCCATCAGCTTTTGCAGTTCATTTTCCAAGTAAAGAAACAATAGCTAAATTTACTGAGTGCTTACCTTAGGTCAGGGCTGTTCTATTCATTCAGTTCTCACAACAGCCCCATGTGACGTACAGAACTACAATCCTCATTGAACAGATGAAGAAACTGGCTTCAGGATGTGAAGTATGTATTCAGGATGTGGTTTACATTTGTTCAAGATCACAGAGCTGGGATTTGCCCATAGACGGTCTAGCTATGGAGTTCACACTTTAACCACTGTACTAAAGCTGCATATGTCATGGGGGTGAGGAGGATATGGGATGTAAGTATAAGTGGGCCCCCACAGGACCTGCCCATAGTATGTGTGGGTGCATGTGCTCCCTACCTTTCCCTCTTTCTCTTCTCCTCTCCCTGGGTGCTTATCTTCTCTTTTCCTCATGGGAGTTAATGTTCCAGAAACTTCTTTCTGGTTAAATGGAACTTGTCACCCTAGAAGGAACCCCAATGTAGCCTCATCTCAAGTATATTCTAAGTGTCACAATGATCAAGTTACGTTGGTGCAATTGAAGCTTGTTTTCAGGGGCTGCTTCTATGAGTTCTGCCCCTGGCTGTAAATCAAAATGAATCTGATAATGGGAGAAATAAAACTATTTCACCCACTCACGCATGCACACATGCACACACACTCTCTGTCTCTCACATACAGGAGTTGATTATTCAGTTTCTTTTCAAGTCTCTTTGATTGACTTTCTCAAATTAAATTAGGTCATATTTGACCATTGTCTTAAAGATTGGTGCTTTTTCCTTCTATCAGTTCATTCTCTGTTTTAGCATCAAGTAACTAATATTGTCTGAATTGTTCATTTGTGCATTTATCACCTAACAAAGAGTTATAGATAGCCTATTATATTCTAAGCACTGTGTAGGTATGAGAGATATTAAGATGAATAAGATAGGCCTTCCTTTCAAGTAGATCATTGCCTAATGATCATAAAAACAAATAATTATGCCAAAACATGGTAGGATCAGGAATGGAGGTGAACACAGAGTTAATCATTTGTATTTTTTATTTTTATAGGATCAAAAATGTGTTCCTTATGATTTATGTTTTTGTTTTTCTGCTTAGAGTTCTTTCTGCATGCAATAAAAAATAAATAACCACACATACTTTCTTTGGGTTATTTTATTACTACATATTTGGAAAGTAAGTTAGGAATCCAATTTACTCCTCATCATTTTTTTTAAATTTGTTTTTAAGGTAAAATTTGTGTTTTCTGTGGCCAACAACACATATATTCATTGTTTAACAAAAGGAAAAAATACAGGGACATAAAGAAAATTGAAATTATCTGATAATCCTACTCTCCTGGAATTATTTATTAAATAAGCAATTGACTTTGAGAGGCTTTATGTTCTGCATGTATAGATATATATATATATATGTGTGTGTGTGTGTGTGTGTGTATATACATATATGTATGTATGAAAATACATTTTTTTTCCCTTAAAAACAGAGCCTACTGGGACATTAGATGTCTGGTACATGAAACAGCCCATTGACTATGATAGACAACAAATTTCTCTTTTCTGGAAGGTAAGTTTTCAGTGTCCATGTAAAAATCAAGAGAATTGTATATTTAGTTGATTTTTTGTTTTATTTTGTTTTTATTGAGATATAGTTAGTATACAGAAAGAATTATATATTTGAAGAGTGTTTCAAGCTCAGAAAATATGTTTTATTTCCATAGTGGCTTTATACAAGGCTTCAGAGACTTGGTTGGAGCTCATTTCATCAGCAATATCCTTATGACACTTAGTGTCATTTACCTTTGTCAGATAAGAAGGAGAGCTCTGCCTGAGCTCCCTCCTCCACACAACTGCATCTTGTCCTCATCTCCTTGCATCCTTTCCCATCTCCAGGCACCTTCACACTGCCCCACTGCACTGTTTCTTCTGACTCTTGACTCTCCCAGACACTCGTATCTCCCCTACATATAACATGCCCAGCAGTGACCATGCCACCTTATTCACTTTTTGGGAAAATAAAGATGGGAAGTCTCTGGATGTGGACATCTAGGAATATATTTGCAATAGTCACTGAAAAGGGAGAGGCGGATAGAAGGCTGTTCTACCTCAGGAACTCAAGTAATCGTAGATATCATGTGAAGAGGAGTGGAAAGCAACTCTTCCTCAGGAATAGTAGTAAAACAGTAGTGATTCAAACAACCTTCCAGAAAACAGTGAGGCCTGATGTTATTATGGGATGTGAGAGTTTCACACAGTGCTGAAATCTGGTGTGTTTGCTTCACTTAATCCTTTAAAAGCCCTGTGAGGTAGGTTCTAGGTATCCCCACTTAACAAGTAGAAAACCTGAGGGTCAGAGAGAGGATGTTCTTCCCACAGTCACCCAGCTACCAAGTGGAGAAGTGAGACGAAACTGCATCCAGAACTTTTTCTGCTCTATCATGACTCATCTTTGTGAAAAGAAAATACTATTTGAATTGAGCTCCTGATTGGCATGCTCATAATACGAGGTTTTCAGGTGAGCTGTACTCCTCTTTACTTCCCTACACCTGCATCCCTCTCACTACACCTCTTCCAGTTAAGGGTAAATCAACAGTTTTGGCATTATGAAGCTGATGAGCATGAAAGCAGAAGAGTCAGAGAAATGAATATCGAGTCCTCTGATGGGGTTAGCATGATAAATTTTGATAATTGCAGTCTTCTTCAGTTTTAAGAAATGAGCCCTTTCTCCCTCTTTTCCTTTCTCTCTTACATGCGCACAAAATGTCTGGTATGAGACTACTATAAATAGCTTGGTGAGTCATAATCAAGCTCTTCACTTTGAAACTAAAACTGCAGCTTAAAATTTATTTTAAAATGAAGCCATGCTTAAGAGCAAGACAATTCTCAAAGCAAGACATTTAGAGCAGCCATAATTGTTGAATATTATAGAAGAACCCAGCTCAGTTCTTGACTGTTGGTTTTCGTTTGTGTAAGTAAGCAACTGGTTAAAACCAAAATTCCTCCTTCCATAGAGATTCCTTCTCCCTGAGTGTCCTCAGCAGTGATCTGAAAAGATAGACTGTTTTAATTCCAATAAACATTTTTTAGCGGCAGGTAATACTCAGCCAACATGCATATGCAAATTATTCTCTGCTTTTCATTTTAATCATGCCCCTAAGCCTGGAAAAAGCCTAAATTCAAGTGAGGTCTTGGAATTCAAAAGGGTTTGAATTCTCTTCTAGTCCACCCCTCCTTTCATTACCATATCCCCCACTCCAGCCAGGACTGACACATGCCCCTGGCTGGGACCTTCTGGGACAGGGAGAATTCCACTTTGTAAGCAGTTCATGCTATGGTGGGCATCTCTTACTGTTAGAAAATTTTCCCTTTTGGGGCGCCTGGGTGGCTCAGTCGGTTAAGTGTCCTACTTCGGCTCGGGTCATGATCTCATGATTCGTGAGTTTAAGCCCCACATCGGGCTCTGTGCTGACAGCTAGCTCAGACCCTGGAGCCTGCTTCGGATTCTGTGTCTCCCTCTCTCTCTGACCCTCCCCTGCTCACACTGCCCCTCTCTCTCTTAGAAATAAATAAAACATTGAAAAAAAAAGAAAATTTTCCCTTTCGTGGTGCCAGAATTTTGGGTACATTGGACTGGTACTGGCTTGACGAAGAAACCAAAACTGTGAATACTAGAAACTTCCACAACATGGCACCAGATGTTGATCAAGACAGGGCATCTTCAAGACCTTCTGTGACTGTGCAGTTTGAGAGAGGCTTCTTAAGGAATGTTGGATCTAGTCCTGAGTTTTGCTGGGCATCTTCAGTGGCCCCAAATAGGCCACTCACCTGGGAGTGGCAGTAAAAGACTGACGAGAGTTACTGAGATGAGCAGGTCTGCTTTGACCTCAGAGCTACAGACCCCAAGAACCAGAGGGAATGTAAGCAGCCTGCAGGCCTACCACGCTTTCATAAACAGAAACACGTCTAGGGAGATGACGTGATTCCTAAGAGGATTTCAGGTACTATGGTGCTTGCTGCTGGGAGCCTTTCCTGGGCAGAAGTCACTGCCTCTTCTGTCTGGAACCACTCCTGTCCTACTTGTCCACATGGGGATTCCCCATGCCACTTGAGAATTGATGGGGTGGTGCCATGACATAAGGGACCTATTTAAATGTCAGACTAGAAAGAAACACTGCAGCTAGATCAGGTGCTTTGTGGTGGGACCCAAATAGACCTCACTGAGGAAAGGAAGCAAAGACGTATGTGTGTTGGTTTTGGCTTTTTTTTTTTTTTTTTCACTTTGATCATTACTGGGAACCCCAGTGAGAGGGACACCCTGCCACTGCAAAGAGGGGGATTTCAGGTCTTGGCACCAAAGGAAGCCCCAGGTAAAACCCCATTAGTCTCTGAACAAAGTGAGAACATGTTTCTCTGACAGCTGGGGGAATGTGAGGTGACCTTTCGTTTTTGTAGGATGTTTACATCAGAAGAGAACAACTTGGTGCTGAATGAGTACAGCCCATGAGTGTGAGGGAGTGAAGTGTGAATATAGGTGAGTGTGAGTATGTGTGTGTGAGTGCGATATATGTGGTAGATCATGTGAGCACAAGGAGTAAACGTGAATGTGTGTGTGAATGGGTATAAGTTTCTTATATGTGTGTGGGATGTGAGTGGGAGTATGGGTGTGTATATACGAGTATGTGTGTCAGTGTGGGTGCATGAAGGTGAGTGTCTTAGTCCATTTGGGTACTATAACAAAATATCATAGACTGGGTGGATTATAAACAACAGAAATCAATTTTTCACAGTCATGGAGGCTGGGGTGTATGTGGGTATGAGTGTGGGTATGAGTGTTCGTGGATGAATGTGAGTGTGGGGGTGTGTTGAGGCTGAAGGACATTTTTGCCTTATTGTTCTGACTCTTACCTACTTACTCTGGGTTTCTCCTGAAAGATTTCTTCCAAAAGTTCTGTTTCCTCAAAAATATCTGGTAGTATTTTTTTCTCATTTTTTAAATAGTTTATTGTCAAGTTGGTTTCCATATAGCACCCAGTGCTCATCCCAAGAAGTGCCCTCCTCCATGCCCATCACTCCCCTTCCCCTCTACCCCACCCCCATCAGCCCTCAGTTTGTTCTTGGCACTCAAGAGTCTCTCATATCTGGTAGTATTTTTTGCCATAGCTATTTTTAAGAGGAAAAAATACTTTCTATGTTGAAGCCAAAAAAGTACAAATTAATCTAGGAAATAAAACACCTCAGTATTGTTCAAGCAATAAATGAAATAACAAGTAGAAAATGTTGCTCTGTCACAAACAGCACCAGTGTCATGTTAGAGCTCTTCACGGGGCTTTTTAGCATCCCCTCCCTCAGATTCCCTGTATCTTCCATCTCTGCAAAGATTCATATTGTTTCCTTTGTTTTGATTAAGCATTTCAATCCACAATCCAGTACACAGTTCTTTCACTTAATGCAGCATGTATCCTTTAGGAAGAAAAATCACTAGATAGATAGATGGACAGACAGACAGACACACACACACACACACACACACACACAATGTATGAAAGGATATGACAATAGGTTAAAACCTCATTAACCTTTCCAGTTTCCACTGTTAATTTCTTAATCGTGGCAGATCATAAACTTTCTGGAATTATGTTTGAGGCCATGGATCTGGAAGTATGTGTGTATAAATGAAGCCAACTTCACTTTACTCATTCATGCATTCAAACTAGCAGATACATTGAAACCTCTCTTTAGTATTGAACACTGTGCTGCATGCCAGGGATACGGAAGTGAACAAGACAAATGCAGTCCTCAGGTGCTTGAGCTCACAATCCAGCAGAAGGTCAGACATGGGGATAATGAGGGCTCTCAGGTGTTAAGGAGGAGATCAAGATTCAGCTAGGGAGATGATGATTGGGGTTAGCCAGTAGAGCAAGGGAATGGGTGAGGAGTCACAGAGGATCTCTTGCAAGGTGCTACTGGAGCTGACCCCAGAAGAACAGATTAGCTGGGATGAGGGTGGGAGAACATTTGGCTGGAAACCAGGGACTGTGGATTCAGCACATAAAGGATCACTGTAGTGAAGCCCCATCCCATAGAAATATAAAGCAAGCCACAGAGGAGAGCCACATGTATAATTTAAAACTTTCTTGTAGCCACATTTAAAAAATAAAAAGAAACAGGTAGAATCACTTTTATTTTATTTTTTAATTTTAAGAATGTTTTAAAATTTTTTAATGTTTTATTTACTTTTGAGAGAGAGATAGAGACAGCATGATCAGGGGAGGGTCAGAGAGAGAGGGAGACACAGAATCTGAAGCAGACTCCAGGCTCTGAGCTAGCTGTCAGCACAGAGCCCGACGCGGGGCTTGAACCCACAAACCGTGAGATCATGACATGAGCTGAAGTTGGATGCTCAACCAACTGAGCCACCCAGGTGCCCCTGGAATCAATTTTAATAATATATTTTATTTAAGCCCAAGTTTATATGGAATATTATCTTTTCAACATGTAATCAATATTTAAAAATTATTGATTAGCTTTTACATTCTTACCCTACTACGTCTTTGGAAGCTGATGTGC